AGATTTCTTTCCTGAGGCAATAAGGAAGTGTAAAGCTGGGAAGGTTACCCCAAGATTTCTAGTCAGTCTCATCAAAAGAACAATTTGAAGGGAGCTCTGGTGGCCAGGTGGCAAGAAGATGCACTGCAATCCCAGAGATACGTGGTTCAAATCCACCAGATGGGGGAGCTCTGGTGGCCTAGTGGCAAGAAGGTGCACTGCAATCCCAGAGGTATGCAGTTCGAATCGAAGGGCAATCTCCTCCTGTACTAGTCGGATCCAATTTGACAGTAAACACACAAAAATTAAGAAAATAAAATTTAATTTTAAAAAAAGAACAATTTAAATGAAGCAAGCAAATGGAAGCCAGTATAGAGAGGAAAGGATACCAAACGGGATCATTAGAATCATTTGCCTGTACCTGGGAGCTCTGGTGGCACATGCTGGAGCCAGCTGTGCTGCTAACCCAAAGCTGGCACCTCTATGCTGGTTTGAATCCACCAGCAGCTCTGTAGGAAAGATGGGTAAACAACTCCCATGAGATTTACAGCCTCTGAAGATAAGCTCTGATACAGTTACAACTCAAAAGCAATGAGATTTTTCTTACACAATGCCTCTGTGGTCTTGTTCCCTGAATTTCTTTATCTTTTATTGCCAGGACACTGGCAACAAGAAAAAGTAACTGAAAATTTAACAAGTACTTTTATTTAGACAACAGCTTTACCTTATCACCCTATAACATTAAATCTGACCCTATTACCCATTTTCTCATTAACTTATTCTCTGTATTATTTCTTTTACAGAAGACTATGTAATAGACTAAAATTGTCTTTACTAAAGCCCAGCTTCTGTCAGGCTCATACTATTTAAGTTCCAGGCTTGCTCTAGTTTACATGGTTACTTACATTCCAATCCAGCTTAGAAAACCAAAGGGGCTCAGTGAATTAATCAAGATACTATTAAAGAGCCACTGGTACTGCTGGTTTGGTTCTAAAATACCACATTATTTCACTATGTGATGATGAACAAGCTAATCAGCCTCTCCAAATTAAGTGAGTGTTGTTACTTAATGAATATAAAACTATTTGTCATAACATTACTACCGTCATTCATTCTTAGTTTTCCTGAGGTGGGAAAATGTGAAAGAGTAGAAATAGTTAGAGACACAATGCTTTTACCCCCTTCTCATATTAAAAAAAGGACCAAAAATACATGCTTTACATTAAGAAAATCAAACGGCTAGAGTCATCACATCTTAGCAGTCCCACATCCAAGTCTTTCACAAATGTACTTCTTTTTTATCATCTAATGGGCACAGAAAATCTCACTAGTATTTATTTAGAGGCCTCCAACAGAAGTCTCTGAATTTTGGATTAGATGACTACTGTTTTAAGAGGCCACAAGAGGGAGTCCAGACGTCACGGTATCTGCTGCATAAAGCCATAAAAGAGAGGCATTTATTAATGAATTTCCTTTGGAGATTACAAAGGTAACATTTTGGTTTACTTTTACTGCATTATTATATTACTGGTCAGAATCTCTAAAGTCACATTGATATTAAAGAGATAATAAAAAATTCTCACCTCAAAGAGCAAGTTTTAATGCTGGCCCATGAAAGTATGTTTGCTGTGGGTTCTGTTGTTCCTATGGGCACTGAGTCCAGGCTGACTTGCAGAGGCTCGAGTTCAGCAGAGTGGAACCTTGCCTGACCCTGGACCACCCTCATAATTTGTACTATGCTTACACTTATTATAGAGTCTTTTTATCAAAATAAAGCTTTTCTCTATTTCAAGCTTTTACAAAATTTTGCCAAACAAGGGATCAACTGCTTTTAGAAAAAAATTCTACTGGGATATCCACAATTTCTCTCCTTTCTTCTATCACAAGAAAAACTATATTGATTTTTTTTTCATATCAAAGTGACTTTATTTTCCTAGCAAAACACAAACTGGGCCAAAACATTATTCTCTTTACATACTGTTGGGGCCATCCATTTTTTCTTAAAAAAAACGAAAACAACCAAACTTGTATATATACTGTCAAATTGGATCCGTCTGGTCGAATCAAATCCAACTGGCACAGGAGAAGATTGCCCCTCCTTTTCCAGCAGCATCTTTCTTTGCAGCACAGCTTCTTTCCACTAGGTCACCAGAGTTCCTTCTTGGGGCTACCTTAGCATTATTCCATCTGTATAATGAGAGATCAAGATCTTCTGCGCTCATCTTTGTTAGGTTTTAATATCAAGGCTATTCTGGCCTTCTAGAACAAGTAAGGAATTTTGTCTTTCTTCAGCACTGTCTCAAAGAGTCTGTGGATAAAATTTTAGTTTGGCAGTTACTTATTAATTTGTTTCCAGGACTTTTGGGGTATCTCTTTGTCTCTTAGCTTGTCTCAAAGTACAATCTAAGATTTACTCTTCTGAAAGGAATCTGTGCTACCCTCAATCATTTCTTTTTGAACTTAAGTTTTCACAGTTTTACTATGCTACACTTAACTGTGGGTTTCTGCATGAGATTCATAACATTTTAAATCTTTGGCCTAATGTCTTTACTAAGTATTAGAATTCTCAGCCATTTATCTTTAAATAATACTGTGTTATGTACATACACTCCTCTTTTGAGATTTCAATTATCTTTTAATGTTTTATGCCAGCTTCAAGGTTGAGAATCAATAATTCTTTGACCTCATTTTTTTGACAAGTCTGGTTGGTTGTCATAAAAGGTTAAGTTCAAATGTTGGTTGTTCAAACCTACCCAGAGGCACCTTGAAGTCAGAGCTGCAGTAACTGGCGTCTATAAGAATGCTATGGAGTTCTACCCTGTAGCCACAGGCCATCATGAGTCAGAATTGGCAGTAATTAATGACAGTACCCAGGCTCAGAATGTAAGATACTAGAAGCTCTTCTATTTCCTGTCTCTGGAATAGTCTCTAGGAATCTCTCCTTTCGGGGCATGTGACTGCCATTTAAAAAAACCCATTTAACATTGAGACAAATCTGGTTAGGCTCAGGAAGTCCAACTGTCCCAGAACTGGCACCAGTCATGACCGCAGGAGCATTCTGGATTTCATACCCCAGCAGATGACATATGGACAAAAACCAGGGCTCCAGACACAAGGCCCACTGAGCCATCCCAGATACTTCAGTTATCTGAGCCACCCCAGCTGAAGCCTAGGATGCTGAGGAAGCACAGTCAGGCCAAAGCTGACACACTCTGATAGAATCCCTAACTGTCACAATCATGAGCATTAAAATAAGTTGTTGTTTTATACCAGTAAGTCGTGGGATCATCTGTTATTACTGGGAACAGTAATAACATGAAAGCCTTCAGTGTTTTGCACATTCCTGCTGGGTGTGCCAAGAACACAAGACCCCGACTACTCTTTCCCTGAGCCAGTTTCTCAAGGCTGTGTTTGTGGTGAGCAACGTTGAGGGATGAGGTAACATGTTTGGGACAAAGAATAGGGCTACTATATAAAATGTAAACTGTCCAAGCTCATTGCTCCTCAGGTGTAATACAAACCGACTGTGTGCACAGCATCACCTGGACCCCTTCAGGCTGGCCTGGGACTGGCGGGCAAGAGGAAGTGACGCGCCAGCTGCCTGCTTCACCAGAAATAATTAAGTCCTTTGTCCCTAACCCAGGACTCTAAGTCTTCTGCTAGCTTCCATAAAGCAACAATAGGCTAAGTTACCTTGCAAACTGAATAAAATCCAAGATCCTTTAAAATTCTTCATAGTTACATGGCAAAAGAGAACCAGGATATATTCCATTTTGTATTTTCCTTCCCTTTTGCCTCTTTGTGTTTCATTCTAAGTATTTATTATTTTTTTAATTCTAAGTATTTCTTATATATATTCTAGTTTACCCAATCTAATTCACTGCTACAACCTTTTCTATTATATTCTTATTGAAAGTGTGGTATGTTTCAATATCTTTTTAATGATTAATCATCATCATCATCATCATCTTCCAGTTCTCGGCTAAAATTCTCAAGCCAGGGTGTTCTTTTCCCCCCTCCTATGAATAAGTGTTTAGTTTCTTTTAAACTCCTGTAGGAGGTCCTCCATGGATCTTGTTTCTGTTGTTGCTTCTGCTAACTCAAAGACCACACCACTCCAGCTGTTTGAATCTGCCAGTAGCTCCTTGGGAGAGAGAGGGGAAAGCTCCTCTGGTGAGATTTACCACCATGAAAAACCCACTGGAGGGCCAGGTATGAGCCAATTCTGACTGAACAGCAAGGTTTTTTTCTTTCCTTTATCTTCATTTTTTGTTATATCTGTATTTCCGTATGCTTTTCTCCCCCCCCCCCAAATGAGCACTTGACAAAGTATATAAAAATTTTCAGATTTAGGGTAATGTCAGTAACTTCCAAAGGGAAATGTATGTTTACTTCTAGTATGTGACTAGTGGGATTTCAAATGTTCATAAAATTATATGGTTTCCCATGGAGGGGGAACATGAAAAATTATGTTTAGAATTCCTTTCAAAAACTGAGTTGTGATAAATTGATATTTTATAACTAGACATCACCAGTGAACTTTTAGAAGCAAATAAAAATACAGAAATATGAACAGCTTTCATTCTAATCTAAATATTAAATTACCTTTGTACATTTTGTTTGTTAGTTTTTTTCTTTCTTGTTGTGTACCACTAAATCAGATCTGATTGGCACAGGAGGCGATTGTCTTTCCTTCTCCAGCGGACCATCAAGTGGATTCAAACTGCAGGCCTTCAGGACTGTTGCAGTGCAGCTTCCTGCCACTAGGCCTATAGAGCTCTTCAATTCTGTATGTTTTTTATGACTCAAAAAAATTTTTTTAAATGCTTTATCCTGCATGATACACATGACTAAGTTTTTTAGTAAATATATTTCACAAAAGTATTTATTAGTCTAATAAAATATTATACTTTTGATGTATTAAAATTACAAATTATCTTTAAAGATGACTTACCATGTGCATATTATAAAAAGATTCTATATGTAAGTGTGAGAGAAATACTGCCTGTTGCAACACTTACAGTGAAAAATACGAAAATCAATATATGGATGAGAGCCTCTTCTTTCTGATTCAAATCCTGCTCGGCTCCTTACACGTACATCTCCTGGACAGAATTTAAAAAGAAAACATGAGTTTAGAAGAAGGCTGTCAATTTGGATAAAAACTTTCAACTTACAACAAAAATGTGTGTGGCATTATACTCAGAAGTAACCTGCCACTAATTAACATATAGAGAGCTTGGGTGGCCTAGTGGGTAGGGAACTGCACTTCCAACTCAAAGACAGGCTGTTTGAATTGACTAGCTATTCCTAAAAAAATCCTCTTGAAGGTCAGCTACGAGTTGGTTCCAACTCTACAACAATGAGTAAGTGAGTGAATTATATATACAGGGGAAAAATAGTTAGAAGCTGATTTATTTCATGTAGGAGGGAGAAGAAGTTACATTTTCATAACATTTGAATGGATTTACACTTATTGCAGGGGTGAGGGTAGACAAGGAAAATTTGTTAAAAATCTCCCTCAACAATAACAAGCATTATGGCATATATTTTAAAGTTATCTTTTGAAAGATGAATAAAGTGTATGATAAAATCATTTTAACACCTTATTACTCATACAACATTTTAAAAAAACCTTAGGAAATTAGATTACTTTCATCTTACAGAAGACAGAAAATGCATAATTTAAAAAATTTTCAAAAATATCAAAAGTAGCAATTGTCTATTCAAAGAGTCTCCTCCACGATGGGCACAATGGTAGGGGTGACTGGGACAAGAAAGAGGAAATACCTATTTTCCTGACATTTATCTTTTCATAAATGAGAAAACAATTAAACATTAAATATTTTGCTACATTTCATTTCAATGATCTTTTCTCATAATACCTAAAACATTCAGTTGGTTCTTAAAATGTGTCCTTTACAGATATTGGGTCATTTTTTTTGTCCCTGTACCCACATGATTTACAGATCTATTTCTTTATACAGTAGCATACATATAGCAATCATGTACCAGCCACTCTTTTATATTACTTACTTTATGTATTTTTTTTTAAATAAGGTAACTATCTTAATTCCTACTTTACAGATGCAGAAATTACCGTTTTGAGAAGTTAGAAAATATAACCCAAACCTCCAAGCTAGTGTTAAGGAGTGAGCCCAGATTCAAAGCAGTTCTGTGGGTTCCCGGCTCAGTGCTTTCCTCACATACTTAGTCCCAGCCTTCATAACTCTTTAGTTTTCACTTGATTGGTCCTGTACTCATAAACTCTTACCCTGAAAATCCTTCTACTTATTTGTGGCCTCATCTCACAGTGATCAAGCAACCACCTCTCTGAGCTGGTGATTTCTTTTTAACATAACAAATACTGTGTACCCACTAAATGTCAGGCACCAAGCATGGTAGCAAGGAAAATACATTAAGTCCTTGTCCTCTTGAGGCTGATTGTTCTGTTGGATTAAACAAATAATAATAAAATAATTCTGATCTGTGTAAGATATCAGTAAATTACAGGAATAATAAAGTCTAGCAAGAGGAACAGGGAGTGAGGCATGAAGGAGGGGGAACCTGGCTTTTCATTAGCACAGTCGGGAAGCTGCATGGAAAAGTGTGGGAGCTGAGTCCTGGAGGAAGTTAAGAGTGAGCCACAGAGGTACTGGGAAGAAGAGGTTTCGAGATGTAAAGGACTGAAAACTGTTCAAACTCACTGCTGTTGAGCTAGAACTGACTCATAGTGACCTTCCACTAGATTTCTGAGGTTGTGAATCACATGGAAGGAGAGTGCCCATTTTTCAATGAGCTGCTGGTGTAAGAAATGCCAGAGGCACAGCCTGTGGGTTAGCAGTGAGGACCAAATCTCTGTGGACCACACCACCTGAATCTCGTGGGCATAAGGAAGAGTAAGTATAAACACCTCCAAGGTAGGAAAGAGCAGGACAGGCACATTCAAGGTCAAGGAGCCACAAGACTGGAGTAAAGTGAGGGGAACTCATGGGAGATGAAATAAAGACATGGTGGGGCCAGAGCATATCAGGCCATTCTGGGCCACTATTTTAACTTTGGGAGCTCTGGTGGTCTAGTGGTAGGATGTTACACTCCAATCCAAAGGCACACAGTTTGAATCCACCGGCTGATCCTCAGGAGAACAGGAAACTTCCTCTCTCAGAAAGCCCTATGGAGAGTCAGCTACACAACAACATATCTAACTTTTACTCTGAGTCAGAAGGGAAACCAATGGAAGATTATGAAAGGAGGGATGAGTTGTAACTTAGGTTTGAAAAGGTTTACTGCACAGACTAGCAGAGGCATATTAGGAAAATGCAGAGACCAGCTAAGGGTCAATTACAGTAAGTAGCCAAATCAGTAAGGAGCTGTGGGGCCAATCCAAACACACACGGATGGAATGTGGAAAGAGATGGGCAATCTTCTCCCAAGCCAGTTATTGCCTCTAAAAACTTGTGGTGGGTCAGCTATGGTCGGTTTGGACTACTGCAGAGCAAGAACAAAAATGGATTTAATTGAGACAATAATAATTTACTTAAGTAGAGTCTCAACGTACTGGCATGGGGCATTTTGAGTCGGAT